TAAAGTTGTTTTCTTTTTTTACATTTTGTAAAAAATTATTTGGTTTATTTGCATCCTAATGAAAATTCTCCTACAACCATTCTGTGACCTTTAGAGCTGTGATAAGCAGAAGCTTCTATAAACAGAACCAGGCTGACATCAGACATTCATGACTCTGACAATTGTTATTGAGAGTCGGTTTAGCGTCATTACATGTTGTTTTCATCTTAATACATTTATTTTATTTCAGCTGTTGATGTAATAATTGTGTTGTTTTATTTACAGCTTTGTTTATTTGTCAAACTCATTCTTTCACATTAAAATATGTAGAAAAGACAGCAGAATCTCAGCTAGTGTGCTCAGTGCAACCTTCTATTTGACCTAGTAGCCTACTTTCCCTCTTCTATCTGCACCCTGGGGAAAACATTTCCATTCTGCGTTTTTGATTGCACATTAGAAATCTGTGTCTGTACATTCTCCATCTCTATCTCGCTGTTCATTCTTATAACTCGCCACTGAAAATACATGCAAAATCTACTCATTTACACTAGAAAACCATGTATGCATATGTGCTTGTCTAATTGTACAATTGTTACAAGACTAAGGAAGTTTTCATGGTGCCAAAACCCTAAAATTGAGTAAAGTTACTGCACTCAGTAAGTAATATATAGTCTTTGTTGCACTGATCTGTTTTTTCTGCCTTGGCTCAGATAATTAAAATATGTTCTTTAACACTGGCTTTGTGGTTTCTCACTCATGTTTTACATGACAAGATGTTCGTAACACCCTTATTACATGCAGTCCAAACATTATCTAATCAAATTAAATCTGCTATCTTCTCCAGAAATTACAAATGATTTGTTGTTGTTCTTGTTCCATCAATATAAACTGTATTATTGCTCTCCAGATGGCTCTTTTTTTTTCTGGTGCCTCTGACTGAGATCTCTCTTGTACGCTTGTTCGCTTTTGCATTTATTGACCGTGCCCGAGTGGAGGCTGGATCTGGATCATTTCAACATCCTCTAACATTATTTCCTCTTTTAACCATTTCTCACAGATGTTTGAGGGAAGTCAGAAATGTGCACAAAACTGAAAAATGTTTAAAAAAATTAGTGGAACTAGACAATTTTACATGGGGATGGGCAAAGGAGGTATCTATGCAGGATTATCAAGGTGGACTTTGCACTGGGTTATGTGAAAATCTTCTACATATAAATAAAGTCAACAAAATATCCACCTAAACTCTTTAAAGAAATACTAGGTGGTTTTGACTTGCTTTTAGCACCCCCTTGTGTCCATTAGTCGAACCAAAAGTGAAACGTATCCCCTCGCTGAAAGTTGGTCTTTTTAACACCTTAATCTAACAGCTGAAATGTCTTCTCAGCCTTCATTAGTCTACAATGCAGTTCATCACTGTTCTGCATGTATTAGGTGATTGATAAAATCCCTAACAATCACAAAATTACACAAATCAGCTTTGTTCATGATCTTAAACATGCAGGAAACATGCTGGAAGCAGACTGTAGTGCAGTAAACTCCACTTACTAAGTCAAAGGGAGTGGCCTGCCACTCTGAAATTGCAAATATGAAATGCAGATCTGTCAGGAACCAGATGAAATGAAAAAAGATTATTTCCATTAAAGTTTCTTTGAACTTTGAATACAAAATAGGTGGAGAAGTCAAAGTCCAAGCAGAAGCTCATCCAACTGGGATAAAGTCATCCCAGTCTGTTCATCCATTTTTTGGGTTGTGGAGGCAACAGATCCTAGAAGGAGTTTCAGGTATCCTGCTACACAGCAAGAATAAGCTCTCCAGCGTGTCCTCTCTGTAGATGCACCCAGGAGAACCTCAGAAGGGAGGCAACCAGAAATGATACACAGCCCAGCTGGTTAACATTGATGCAGGAAAGCAGTGGCTCTGAGATTAACCTTGAACTCTCTCCGAAGGAAACTTACTTTCTTTACTCACATCAGAGATCTAATTCTTTTAGTTATAGGTCAAATTTCCTGACCATATGGATCGACATGTAGATGGACATGAAGACTGGGGGCTTTATATTTCTGCTCAACTCCTTCATTGCCACAGACTGAGCCATCTGGTCTTCTTCATCACTCACAAAAAGGACACCAAGATACTCAAACTTCTCTACTCTAGGCAGAGGCTCAGCCCCCAAAGCAGACGAACATTCACCCTTTATCTGGTCAAGATCCAAGGCCTCAGGTTTAACCCTCTGGAGACAGGCGTTTCAGGTTTGCAACAGTTAAAACCTACCTACCTGGTTACTCCACGTACGTATTTCATGAGCATGTTTTAACTCAGAAGTTCCCCTGAAGGACTTAGTTGTTCGTCCTTTTATCAAAACTTATTTTGAGCCTGAGAGGGTTAAAGGAGCTGACTTTAACTCTCACCACATGCTGATCTGAAATTCCATAACCAGACACCCTTCTAACACCTTGAGATCCTGTTTCAGAACATGTTTTTTTTAAATCTACACATGACAACACCTCCAGGTGGCGAAACATGAAAAGACTAACAATCCGAACACTGTCATAACTGGCAGGACACTGAAGGTCGATGGTGGTTTGTGCAACAATCACCAACAGCTACATTAATAAGCAGAGATGGACAAAGTAGGGACACTTTGTCCATGGGCATCATGACAGGCTTCATCTTAAATAAATTTGTGCATCAACACTTCATGGTGTTGTGATCACTTGAGATTGCTAAAAATACCACTACATCCTTCCTCAGTAGGCTGTCAATTACCACAATGTTAGGTTGGTTAGCTTTCACCAACCAAAGTTCTTGTTTCACACTATTGTTCTAAGTCTGAATTTAATTGTTTCTAAGTGCATCAGAATACACAAATATATAGTTTAAACCATGTCGAGTTAGCAGGACTACCTCTATCCAGTCAGTACCTATTACATTATATTATGGCGTCCCTCAGAGTTACATTCTAGGCCCTGTTTTGTTTTGTTTGTGTGTGAATTGATGAATGACACGCTGTAATTTAAAGCGCTTTGGAGTCCTCTGACTCTGAAAGGCGCTAAACAATGTAGGTCATATATCATTATCATTTATCATCCCTGACGAGGATGATAATTTTACACACAATATAAGTATTATATTGTACAAACGTGAAAATTATATTGTTTGAACAATAAAGTTTTCAGTTACAACTTGATACCTATAAATATAATTTGTTAAACGTACGAAATTAGTCCTTAATGCCATGTAAGTTTAACTAAATATATTCATAGGTAAATGTGATATAATATTGTACAAATGTGAAAATGATATTGTTAGAACAACAGTTAAAATGTTCTAATGTCACGTTGCTCCTATTTTATTTTGTGTGGGTGGCAGCGCTATGCTGCCTTACCAGACAGAGGTCAATATCTCAGCTGCTTTTGCTTACTTTCAAATTATCCAACAGGTGACACTCCTTTATTATGGGATGCTATGCCTCTTCATCAGAGTATTTCTGTCATGGTCTGAGGTGAGTGGTTCATTCATGACCTCTGAGTGCTTAATTGCAGGTGAGTGGCACTGAGGAGCGGGCAGCTGCAGCCAATCTGTCATCTACCAGTTAGTGTATGAAAGGAGCAGGGAGACGACATCACCTCGCCGGACGATTGCTCACTTTGGTACACTCCAATCTGAGATCATAAAGCCAACCCTCGAGTTTAAAAATCTTGTACTTGTCTAGAGCTTTGGCATATTTGTAAATCCTGTTCCCTGTCTTCAGGTATCCTCACCATCACCACCTCATCAGCCATAAGCACAGATTATCTCACCGGACCACATCTCCCCACCCAACCTGGCTGACCCGCTCTCAGCTATTCACCCTGCAGCGCACCGGGCTAAAGACCAAAGGTGACAGATCATTTGCTGCTGTGGCCTCCAGACTCTGGAACTCTCTCACCCTAAGCCTGAGATCAGCGGTCTCCTTTAAAAAGCAGCTGAAGACTCACCTGTTCAAGATGGCTTTTGTATGACCTTCTTCACCACTCTCTCTTTATTCTGCTCTCCCCACCTATTCCACCTTCCTCAGGATCCACTGATTTCCCTCTTTCCTGTTCACACTCTCTCTCTTTCTTAACATTTTTAAATCACAATTGCCTATTTTTGTTCATTTTAAATATATTTTTAAACATTTCTAAATGCTTTTTTATATTTTTACATTTTTTGCTTTTGTGATGCGCCTCTGATTTTTTTCTTGAGAGGCGCTATAGAAATTATACTTTCTTCTTCTTCTTTCTTCTTCACCCACCTTCGCTCATCTGGATTCTGCTCTCAAGCTCGGCCCTCACCTCAGGCCTGACCACCCTCCTCATCTTCCGCTAAATTCCCTAGCTCACCTCCACACCTTCAACCTCCCTCGGACCCTCACCTCGCGTTGACGGTACCCTTTCTAATAAATATTGTTTAACCCAATCCAATCTCCGTGTATGATTCTGAATGTCCGGGGTCAGGAAACTAACCAGAACATGACAATTCCGTTACGACACACTTCTTTTGTCACTTTTTAATTTCAGTAAATGTGTAAATATACTTACATTTTAGGCATTTATATAACTTTTAGGTCTTTCTGTCCTTTTCTAGTTGTGGGTTGTTTTTGATGCTACAGAAGACAACAAATATGCCACAGGAAAAAAAAATCTGACTTTGACCTATATTCTTACTTTTTTCCAGGAAAAAGTCATAACAAAAGAGTCACTGGGTGCAAAATGCTGCTGTTGCATAAGAGTGGCTCAACAGGTCATTATATTTTGCACGTGCTGCTGTCCAGAGCCCCAGGAAAACACTTTACTGAGCTGGATCAAGGCCACAAGGTCATGATTTAGAGTGTGGTGCCAAATTAATTCAGAAGGAGTTTAGACATGATAAACCTCTAGATCTGCTAAGAGGTAGCTGCTTTCTACTTATCTTTGAACTGAGAAGTTGCTTCTAGTCTAATTAAATGCAGAGCGTCCTTAGAGTATCCGCTCAATCAGAGGGGGTGGGCACGATGGGAGTGGGGCGTTTCCAGTCCGAGCTGCGCGTCGTTGACACATATTTCTGGCGCTCCCAGTCTTTGGGTGGATGTGTCTGAAAGTACACACAGAGATGGAAACATATAGTCGGACTGGGATAGAGCTGGATGACAGCAGCACTGCGTAAAAAGGACGCCTGACGATCTGGACTGCGCGCTGCGCGTTTGGCACCTGCGGAGAGGAAATAAAACATCTCTGTTACACGAGCTGAGCTCCAGTTTAGAGAAAACCAGAAATTAAAAGAATGAAAATACCAGCATTAGCCCACCGTCAGATAGATCGATATAAATATCTATTTAAAATTAAACAGTAGACGTTTTCCTCCAACCGTGCCAAATGCTGGAATGGCTCGTGGCTTTTTGTTTTGTGATCCTGGTGGTCCTTATTTGGCCAGGCACCAAGTATCTGTTTGGTACCGAGTACCAGGCGGATGCCACGCTCCAAAGACTCGGGATGTCACAGCCGGCACCCAGACACGAAACCGAGGATGCCCGCTCAGTCTGCGCGGAAGCCGGGGAGAAAACACGCGCCGTTGCGCTTGTGTGCAAACCGTCCGCTCTCGCCAAGTACCTCCAGAAACACTGCAGGACTTTCAGCAACTACTGTCCCTGCGTGGGCTGGACGTGGCGAGCCAGCGCCTGTCTCCAGACCGTGTACGAGGCGTGCTGGCCCTACGAAAGTCCGATCCAGTTCGTGCGGGACAACTTACAGCTGAGCGACGACGGGCTGGTGGCGCTGGACTGGGCAGTGGCATCCTACCATAGAAGACGCAGGACTTCAAGTCACTCCACCAGTCCGGTTCTGCTCATCATCCCAAACTCCTTTGGGAAGATCACTAGAAATGTCTTAAAGGTAATTTGTTACTTACTATAAAATACAGTTTTTCTCATGTGAAGGAGTTGGAGAGCAAAAAACACCCGAACTTAGACATGATCAGGCTTAAAGGTCCTACTTCTGTTTTAAAGCTAAATGAATCCCTTTGTCTTTATTTCACTAACAAATGTCAACATCTCATGTAGTATGCTAGAAACCAGAACACTGTGTTGCTCAAAAGCACAGTGGCTTCATGACAACTGTTTTCCTCGTGTACACATTAGCAGCATTTCTGCACTTTCAAATAATGTTGTGATCAAATGTGCACCAACAGAGGAGCAACTGATTTTCATATTAAGATAATTGAAAGGATCACCATCATTACTGCTGTTCACTAATCAGCAGAAGTGGTTCGATAATCCTAATTTGAGTTAGAGTAGCTTCTTGAGTTTAAGCCAATTGGAGGAAAAGTGAGTGGAAAAGATGCAGCAGCAGTTTTTCAACAGCTCCTTCAACAGACTGATGGAGGTAATTGAATGAGGAGCTAAAGCATCCCTTGGCTTGTGAAGCCTTGGACTGCATCGCCTCAACACATGAACCTGGTGCTGTTCACCTCTGCGTGCAAATTTGTCACCGGCTCACTTTCAGCTCCAAAATACGTCTCTATAACAACAAAACAAGATTTGCTTGTTCTATCTGTAAGTCACGGTGCAGAAATGAAGAATGTAGGAGATGGAAGTGAAACAAAGCTGAGGAAAATTATGGAGGCGAGAAATAGAAACGTCTCAGCCAGACAGATTTGTGCTCCCTCGTTTGTTGCACTTTCTGTTCTGAGCGATGCAGTCAGTCTGCCGTGCTGGAGGAGCCGGGAAGCGGAGGCACTAAAATTAAGATAGCTCCTATGGCTAGTGAGATTTACCATGTAGTCACAGTGTGAGCAAGCGTGCAAGAGAGTGAAAGAGATCCTATTGCATGCACACACACACACACACACACTTATTTGAGTCTGTGACCCAAAAGAAGCTGAGATTTTAATGTCTCCATGTGCTCCCTCTTGCCCTCCCTTTGGTGTGACCTGTTTCAGGAGTTTATTATTCTTAAATGACCCAGCTGTGCCTAAATTATTCATATTTGCACACTCAGAATTTCTGTTGCTCTTTTGCTTCACACTGTCTGGCTTGATTCATGTTCTCTGATGAACAAAACATGGTTGTGACATAAACACGAGAAACTTCATCATCTCATCCGTCATTCTCACAGTGTTGTAAAGAAAACACACCAGTATCACCAGACAGACACTTCCCCTTAGGTGTGAAATTGCATCTCCAGCTGAAAATCTTCTGTCGTTTTGCTACGTTGTTTGAATCTCTGCTGTGAGAATTTTTTACCAAATAACGTTCCACACGTGCTCCTAAACATCGTGAACATCCAGTGTGTGTGAAAACAGCTTTATGTTTTGCCTGGATTATGAAAAAAAACAGGTACATGCTGACAAGCTTGCTGTCAGGGTGGCACCGGCCCATCCTGGACCCCCTCTAGACCCGCCCCTGATTCTAACCTTAATCTACTTCAATGTTTTTTAGGAATTTTATTTTAAACATCAAAGTTGAAGCTAAAAGAAAGCATGCGCCCTCGTGTGGCTGGGTTTTTAAATTTCAAGTCCCGCCCTTGCCATGTAAACAAATGGGATCTAGCTAATCCTTAGTTAGCACAAGACCCCCAGCAATGGAAACAACTGTTCACCTGTAGGCTCGACGCACCAGAGCGGGACGACACCTGACCCCTTGCAGGAGGCGTGATGATGATGACATCTTTAGTTGATTTTACAGATGCTGACTTATGTCAGGTCTCATAACACATTAAGCTGTAACTAGTAATATGATGCTCAGAAATCCCCATGATTGTGCGCAGCTTGGTAGGCGGGACTATAAGCCTCACATCCTGGGTGTCTGGCTCCAGAAACAAAACAGCAGGATTTCACAGTTTCACTAGAATTAGTTGGAAATGCTCTGAGAAGTTATGACAAATGCCCAGTTTGCCCAGTTTATGTTAATGCTATTTATGCTCCTTGTTTAATTTTCCCCTACTTTGCAAAGTTTCGAAGCATATATTCCAGGAGAAACTTTTAGCAGGATTAATTCTTTCAGTGTTTGGATTGGATAAAAAGTAAACCTTTTTGTGTAGAGCAGCTCAGAAGTTAAAAGAACATTTGTGTTTGGTGTCATACCTGATCAGTCTAATGACTCAATGACAACCACACAACCTCCTCCTGGTTCAAGATTTCACAATCACAAACATCAAGCTCATGCTACCACATTGGATTCACAATATCCTCATAATTCTGTTTCCTCAGGCAAAACTGGAGAACATCAGTCTTCTAATAACCTCTGGCTCCAAAGAAAAGCAGCTTATTTCTTCCAGATATGTCAAACTATACATTTTCTTTTACCTTTTTCCATTCTTATCTTTAAAGGCATCACTGAGGTAACTGAGATGATGCAGTTGTGTAAAAACATGCAGGAACAAGCCTGTCCTCTCTGCTCACAGATGTTTTAAATATAATAAATATTTCTACAAGCAGAAACCCATTGCACCTTTTGTCATTAACTCCATTCCAATTTTCCTGACAGAGATTTATTGAGCATCATGGGTTCAGTAATTCTGAAGTAATCTGCTCAAAATATTTGCTTTTGTTGCTTAATTTTAGGTATTTTTACCGCCTAAAGACTTGATGCATGATGTTTTTTCAGCATGGTCATTTTTATGTGATGTTATTACTATCAACGCCTTGTTCTGTCTCAATCTAACTGCAGAGAGAGCTGCTTTGACTGATTAAATTTGCAGCAGGATTCCATTACAGCCTTACTCCTGTAATACTCCTGTAAAAGTGGAGGATATTTACTGTTAACAGCCAGGGTCAGAAAGAGTGATACTGTGTCTTGGCATAGATTTATAACAGAGATCAAATCTTGGAAAATGGTTGAAGACATTTGACGTTGACTGTTTTGTGTGAATTAAATGTTCATTTAAGTGAAGAGGTCATGTTTGTATATTAATTTGCTTTTGTTTAATCTTAGAAACCCTCATATGTTCCGACATAAATTCAGTTTACTATCTTGCAATCGTCCAAAACCGTGAGTCATACGATAAAAATCATATCACGTTTTTCTTTAAACCAAACGGTGTCCTAGTTTAACCTGCTGTGACTCAGCTTCTAAGTATTCAGTCAGAACTGAAGGAGATTTTTACCAAAGTGTGGGCTAGTCATGTCAGAGCCAGGAGTCTGGTCCTGTGTGGAGTCTGCTGAAGGAATTTGTCACCAAGCTGACATTTAATCAACTCAGTTGGAAAATCACTGAAGCTGCTGTTTGTTGTTTACTTCCTCTATAATGAAAACAAAACACTTGGAATAAATGACAGATAACTGACAATATACACTCACTGGCCACATTATTGGGTATACTTTGCTAGTACTGGGTTGGACCCCCTTTTGCCTTCAAAACTGCCTTAATACTTTGTGGCATTGATTCAACAAGGTACTGGAAACATTCCTCAGAGGTTTTGGTCCACATTGACATGATAGCATCACACAGTTGCTGCAGATTTGTCGGCTGCACATCGATGATGTGAATCTCCCGTTCCACCAAATCCCAAAGATGCTTTATTGGACTGAGATCTGGTGACTGTGGAGGCCATTTGAGTACAGTGAACTCATTATCATGTTCAAGAAACCAGTCTGAGATGAATGGAGCTTTATGGCATGGTGCATTATCCTGATGGAAGTATATCAGAAGATGGGTACACTGCAGTCATAAAGGGATGGACATGGTCAGCAACAATGATCAATTTGTACCAAGGGGCCCAAAATGTGCCAAGAATATGTCCCCACACCACTATACCACCAGCCTGAACCACAGGACGGATCCATGCTTTTATGTTGTTGACACCAAATCCTGACCCTACCATCTGAACATTGCAGCAGAAATCGAGACTCATCATACCAGGCAGCATTTTTCCAATCTTCTATTGTCCAAATATGGTGAGCCTGTGTGAATTGTAGCCTCAGTTTCCTGTTCTTAGCTGACAGGAGTGGCACCTGCTGTGGTCTTCTGCTGCTGTAGCCCATCTACCTCAAGGTTGGACGTGTTGTAGGTTCAGAGATGCTCTTCTGCATACCTTGGTTGTAAAGAGTGGTTAACTAAGTTACTGTTGCCTTTCCAGAGATGGGAATTGTGGCATCAGCAAGTCCACTCCATGATGTTATTTTGTTCTGCTCAGTAACTGAACAAGGTTCATTTAGTGTGTTGAGTGAGATCACCTGGTTTAGTTGCTGAAGAAAAACACAGCATGGAGATGACTTGTTGATGCCACTCGCCATCAGCTCTGACAAGTCTGGCCATTCCTCTGACCTCTAGCATCAACAAGACCCCACAGAACTGCCGCTCACTGGATGTTTTCCTTTTTCAGACTGTTCTCTGTAAACCCTAGAGATGGTTGTGTGTGAAAATCCCAGATCAGCAGTTTCTGAAATACTCAGACCAGCCCATCTGGCACCAACAACCATGCCATGTTAAAGGCCTCTAAATCACCTTTCTTCCCCTTTCTGAAGCTTGATTTGAGCTCCAGCAGATGGTCTCAACCAAATCAACATTCCTAAATGCACTGAGTTGCCAACATGGGATTGGCTGATTAGTAATTTGCGTTAACGAGCCGTTGGGCAGGTGTACCCAATAAAGTGGCCAGTGAGTCTATTACTTTCTGACAAAAACTGCGAAAATTTGATTAAATCTTGAACGTAAATCTAGAATGACGCGAATCTGTCAAATCTATTTTTCATTTAAGCCAACTCAGTCAACGAAAGTTCTGTCTGATTGTATCCTTGAGGTCAAGCAATGGCTAGCTGATAACTTCCTCCATCTCAATGACTCCAAAACTGACTTAATCGTTTTCAGTCCTTACAGTACTAAGGCTACTCATCAACCTGACCTCAACTATCTCTCGCCTAATGTATCCTCTGTAATCTCCAACCTTAGAGTAAAAATGGACCAGGCTCTGAAGATGGATGCCCAGGTCACTAACACAGTTAAATCATGTTTTTACCAACTAAGACGCATCTCGAAACTAAAGCACATCCTGAGTGTCCGTCTTCTGAAATCTGTGGTCCACACTTTCATCACTTCAAGGCTGGATTACTCTAACTCCTGCTTATATGGCATCAGTAAAGCAGCTCTTTCTAGACTTCAGCTGGTCCAGAATTCTGCAGCTAGGTTGCTGACTGGAGCTGACAGAAGACAACACATTTCACCAATTCTGAAATCTCTCCACTGGTTGCCCTTGCAGTTTAGGATAAATTTCAAAATTATGCTTCTGACTTACAAATCCTTGAACCGTCAAGCTCCTCCATATCTGTGTGAACTTGTCCATTACTACAACCCGCCGCATGCTCTCAGGTCTGAAGAAAAACTCCTCCTAGCTGTTCCGAATGCACGTTTAAAAAGCCGTGGAGAAAGGGCTTTCTCTGTCTGTGCACCGAAGCTGTGGAACACATTACCACTGCTAGTGAGGCAAGCACCAACAGCTAGCATTTTTAAATCACGCTTGAAAACTCACTACTTCAACCTAGCGTATACCACATAATTATGAACCTCAGTCACAACTGCATTGTTAAAAAATGGAATTCACAATATCAACTTCCGCATTATTCTGGTTCTTTTTTTAAAATGTTTTTCTTATTTTTTATTCTCCCTGTGTTTTATTGATTTCTACCTGTTAGTTCTGGGAATTTTGTTGTATTTCCTTTTTATCTTTTTTCTGTGTTCAACATGATTGTATGATTTTTTGCTGGTTTCATTAACTAACATTTTTAGTGTACAGCACCTTGTTTGGTTGTAATGCCTTATTGAATGCGCTTTATAAATAAAATTGGATTGGATTGGAAAAGTGCCAATGTGACCCATGTTGTTCTCCGAATGCATCTGTTGTTGAGTTGTTTTTGCACACCTTTCCTGCTGTGTTGGTGTCTGATGCTTCCTTGTGTGGCTGGATTATTCCCTCATCTGGCAAGATGAGAAAAACCCTTAACAGTCACATCACCTCACTTAATCCCAGCCCCTGGATTCCCCACGCAGCCTCAGCTTGCTCAGAACATTTAATACTGTAGCTCAACATCTTTGGGAATTACGTTCCACGCCGAAGTTATTTGTATTTATAAAGACCTCCTTTATAAAGGACCCATGTGATCCATTTGATTCAAAACATCGTGTTTTGAGGAAAGAGCTAACGAGTGAATCAGTGAGTGACGGTCAGGTGCTCTTAGTTCTCTGTTCTGCTTCAGGAAGATAAACACAAACCGTCTAATGTTCCTGCAGGCTTTTTCAGCTGGTAAATATTTTATGCTGAGATTCTTCATTTCAACGTGGGGAATTAATCTTCTTGTGTGTAGACTTTATCTTCCTGTAATGGGTAGTTTATGCAAAGATTTCAGCATAATGTCTAATTTGCATTATTTTTTCTCCTGGATTTCACTGGATGTGTCTTGGATGTGTTTTGGCCTGGGTTTTACAATGAGATTCTTAAAAATTAGAAATATCGTCAAACTTTTTGTATTGTGATATATCGTATCATCTCCCCTATATTGTGATTTGTATCATATCACCAGATTCTTGCTAATACACATTTATGCTACTTATTTTTTCATCTCATTATCTTATTAGATGTTCATTTATTGCATTTTGCTAGTTTGTTTTTGTTAGTTTTGGGTTTATTTATTAAAATTATACTTTACTTTGTTAATCTGCCTTCATTTTGCATTAGAGTCCATGTATTCACCTGCCCATGACATAGATTAGCTAACAGACATCCCTGGGTTTGAAAATAATTAGTAGGTTGTGTTTGTGTTTGCTGAAAAGTCTTGAATTCCAGCATCAACAACATCCAAATAAACCATAGTGCAAACAACACCTTCTTTAAATAGCACAAAAGTATGCAAGAGACTACAGTTCAATTAAAATATATATATATATATATATATATATCATACAATGAGCTGAACTATGGTCAATCAGTTCTCCGAAACAACGGTGTTGAGCTGGACCAGTTTCTATGTGTCCCAGGTGCAAAACAAGTAAATAAATAAAATGCTGAAATACACGTTTTTACTTTCACAAATCAGATAAAGGTTCCACAAATCGCAAACGTATGTTTTAAGGGGGAAAAAAAATTCAAAAGGACTCTGCCATTAATGGGAAATTAGCTAGTCCATGTTGTTTTAGTTTATAATAAGAGCAGATTAAAGATGCTCGGGGAGTGAAACATTGGTTAGAATTGCCACTAAACATACCAGTCATATTTTTGGGTTTATTTATGTGTGTTGTTTTATTTTTTATTTTTTTACTTAATTTTCTACTAATAAAAATCCTGTAGAAAAAAATATTGCAAGTTTGTCTTCTCCTAATTTAAAAGTAAAATGAACCAAAATTATGTTTTTTTCTAAATAGACAGCTAATCTCATTTAGTAGATTTTTAGGGATAAGGGGAAAAAAAGGGATCACTCTCTCTCTCTGAAAAAAATCAGATACAGTGTTGGAGTTCTGACATTTTTTCTCAGAATTGTTTAAAAATAAGTCATCAAGGATTAAAATAAATTATAACTGTTATTGGGTCAACATCTTATGTTACTGTGAGACTGGGAAAAATGACAAAGTTCACACAGACTGTCAGAGTCGCCCTGGAAAGCTTTCAGTCTTTATTGAAACAGTTTTCTCAACGGTCTTCATCTGTCATACCTCCTCTCTCTCTCTCTCTCGCTCTCTCTCTCTCGCTCTCTCTCTCTCTCTCTCTCTCTCTCTCTCTCTCTCTCTTTCTCGTTCTTGTGTCCTTTTTTGTAGTGGTTCATGCTCAGCGCGCTCCATATCTGAGTAAAGTCCCGCCTCCTTGCTGGATTGACAGCCATTGCTTTCTCCTCACAAACAGTTTATGTAAGATTAAACATGAAACAGAAAACTGTCAGCAACGCAGGACAGTGTTTCAGGGTGCCGGTAATTCGGTCTCCCTTAATTATCGGCATATTTGCCACACAGGAAGGTGGCACGCAGAGGCTCAGAGCCCGACTCTGAGAAAGGTGTGTTGGATCAAACCACTTATGAGACAGGGGAGGTTTGATGCCTTTTTGTTGTTAAAATATAACATTTCAACAAAGCGCTGTATGCTTTTTTATCTTTTACAAGAGTCTTTAAAAAAAACACATAGTGAAAATAAACATTTTAGATTCTCAAATTTTAGGGGTGCTGGGAGTTGATTCAAAAATGGGCTAAAAACACCCGTGAGGTTCCTTTAAAAGAGCTCAGGGTGTGCTAGAGAGGGAGTAGATTAAGGAGGAACAGTAGAGGCTCCAATACAGAAACTTGTGGGACACCATGGGCGAGAGAGGTACATGGGTGAATAAACGGAGTAGGGTTTACAATTTTAAATGAAGCAAATACAACATCAAAAGAATGTGATGTATTGAAAAGTGGTTCTGTTTGTGTGCAACATTTAAATGAGAAAAAAATACTATATGCTGAAAGTGCTACCAAGGTGTAAATCTTATTTGGATTTTTAGAAGATGAAAAATCACTACTTATTCACTAAAACATGTATTCTCTCATTAACATTACTCCCCTCCAAAAGCTCCACTCCAAATTTTCTCATAATGTCACATTTGCATTTCTGAATAAAACAGGTTAGTTAAAATAATACTAATATGTCCAAAAATCTGTTTTAGCAGCTGAGAATAGGGGCAGACTTCCCGTGAGAGATCGAAGATCCAAGTTATTCATGTGGTTCTGCTCACAGTCTCGCTGGTTTGCTTCATGGTAATCATCTTAGCTGAGACTGTACTCATCAAGGTCATTACTGAGTGGGAATAATGCCACAAGTACTGAGACGTTCTCCAAATAAAAGGCCTCATTACGTCATCCTGAGTCATAACACCTTGTAGGATGTGTCTAAATAAACCTTTTATGAGTGTTCTTGAACTATAATCAATTAAGGATATTTAAAGCCAAGAAATTGGTTGAAAGATCAATAACATTATGCAAATAAGGAGTGCAGTGGATAATTTGAAGGGGTCACATGATCAAGTGAAATAAAGAATTCTGATAGAAGAAGATTTAATAAAGTTATTTATTTATGTGCCTCTCTCTCTTCTACAGTTATGTGAAACAGCACTGTCCCATGGCTACCTTCCTGTAGTCTTCAACCGCCGCAGCCACAACGGCACTCCGCTCTCCACCCTCAAGCTGCAGCAGTTCGGTGACCCATCTGACCTGCGTGAGGCCGTGCGCTACATCCGCTACCGCCAGCCAGCAGGGAGACTGTATGCGGTAAGCGAGAGCTCTGGGTCGGGTCTTCTCCTGTCCTACCTGGGCGAGTGCGGATCATCAAGTTACATGACGGCAGCTGTATGTCTGTCGCCTGTGTTCCGCTGCCAGAGCTGGTTTGAGTCTGGACTGTGTCAACCTCTGCAGTGGGTGCTGGCTCTGTACCAGAAGATAAGTCTAAGCAGGTAAGTAGAGACCCCTGGGCCATGGGAGGATGGGGAAAATGGTGGTAATAACTTGCTGGATTTTATTTGGTGATAATTAATTCGTCTCTGTCAACCATATTGATGGTTTTAGGTGAAAACCTCAGTTTATCTGTGTTTACTGAAATGCCAACTATGATTCTATGTTCAAAGTAATTTGAATCTTCCATCTTCGCCATTGCTCAGTTTAAAGTTTACAAAGTAATCTTTACCACATCTAGATGTCCACTGAGTTGCTTTTATATAAAAAGCTATTGTGTTAGGAAGCATTTGAATGGGTGTACCTAATGAAGTGGCCAGTGTGTGTGTGTGTTTCAGTACTCACACATTTTAACATAATCAGGTTACCAGCGAGGAAAACTGTGGCTTACAAGACCAACGGATGCAAGCACCAATATACAGTTCATTGAAAAAGCACAGGCTACTGAAGAAGCAATTAGGTTACCATAGCAACAAATGGTCAACTTGTTGTCAGTTTAGTGATTTTTGAGGGACATCGTGACCTGAGTTAGGTTTTTCAGATCAGAGCCACTGGGAAATCTGAGACCTGTACAGCTCTTTAAAATTGATTTACTATTTTTCACTTGTTTTTCATTGTCTTTGTGTGTGTGTGTGTGTGTGTGTGTGTGTGTGTGTGTGTGTGTGTGTGTGTGTGTGTGTGTGTGTGTGTGTGTGTGTGTGTGTGTGTGTGTGTGTGTGTGTGCGCGCGTGTGTGTGTGTGTGTGTGTGTGTGTGTGTGTGTGTGTGTGTGTGTGTGTGTGTGTGTGTGTGTGTGTGTGTGTGTGTGTGTGTGTGTGTGTGTGTGTGTGTGTGTGTGTGTACTGTAGGTACAGGACAGCACTGGGGGAGATCATGCAAACAGATGCTGTGTTTTCTAGCTGTTCCTTGCGTGGTGTAGAAGAAGCTCTGTTCTGTCAGTCCAGACCTGCTGGTTCTATCACAGCAGCGCCGTCAGGGACTTCTGTTGTCTGGGATGCTTACTGGGAACGAAATGAACCCTTGAGAGATGTGGATGAAGTGGCCATTCCTGTCCTGAGCCTGTGCGCTAAGGACGACCCAGTCAGAGGAGATGCCCAGTCCACTATACCCCTGGAGCTGTTCGAGACTAACCCACACTTTTTCCTCCTTCTAACTGACCGTGGAGGTCATTGTGGCTTTGCCACCCAGTCAGAGAGGAGAGCTTTCTCTGCGGTTCCATCAAACAGCACATTAGAGGGCAGCAACATTAACTGGAGCCACAAAGTGGTTCTGGAGTTCTTCAGGGCCAACACAGACTTTTTTAATGCTGAAGAGAGAGCAAAGCAGCTCGCTGCGCGGAGGAGGGGGCTCGGAGGAGGTGCTGGAGGGAGGGCTTTCCGTAATCGGAGTGTGAGCACATGTAAACGCGTGCCAACTTGTTCCCATAACATTCATGCCATTTATAATTGGCAGAGGTCCTACACACGCTGAGAGTTGATTAATGGATGTTTTTTTAAAGCATTCCATCCTCAGCAAACGCCTGGCTCTTTATAACCCTGTGTTGTGTTTTTATCACTGTTTAGTAGCAGGTAGGATTGTGGTTTTATGCCTGAAGCATCACAACTGCCTGAATATTAAATAAACAGAGTAGCATCATTGTTTCGGTTTCCATGTTACACACATGCATGCATTGTTCAAACACTTTCAGGAGTCAGGAGCTCCGCAGGGCACCATTCTCGGCCCATGTCACTGTGTGTAATTGACAAGGACTTAAAAATCTAACTCAGCTGGAATATTGCAACCAGAATATGAAAAGTGCTAAGCTAAGGGAGAAATTATGTTTTCATGTTCAAATTCTGATTTTGAGAAATCTGTGCAGCTTTTTAGTTTCTCACAAAAAAAGTGTTATTTTTTTTCCTTTAGTTTGTTTCTTACATTTGACAATGTTTTACTTTTTCATGCTTCTTTACTGTGATGAGGTCAATTTTGATTTGCTTTTTTGCATTAATCATTCAATCAAAAGCATTTTTGGATAAAGCAAGACAAATTTAGCTTAATATTTTTGTTTATTTACTCATAAAATTGTATATTGTATCCCCTGGGAAATGTAATGTTAAATAATTTATTTCACTCCCTGTGAATTAGAAAAGTAAATTGTGAAACCAAAAAGTTCAGGAAATACTGAAAGAGCTTAATGGTTTATCAGTGAATAAGATTCTCAGCTGTACTGTCATTTATTGTAATAAAAAGTTTCAATTCTGACCAAAAAACTGTCAAATGATGAATGGTTGTATTTTTACAACCAATGTTTGGAAAATTATTTAATAAATCATTTTTAATATTTCTATTTGAAACACTGGAAGAGTCAGTGCTAAAGACACAAAGTCCAGATGGACAATCACTGTACACACAAACTCAAACTGACAAGAGTTGTTATGAAGGAAGGGTGGGCAATGCATCTAATCATAAAGCTACCCATTCACATGAAAATATCAACAAGGAGCACATTAGAAAAAGTTACAAAGGATAATGATTCAAAAACTTGATATTTATTGTTTCTTTTTCATATATTCTTATTCAAGTAGCTGTGAAAAAGCACAACTGCTCAGTGTTATTGCTATGCTTTGTTACTAATTTCATTTTTTGTGGATCTTCGTCATACACAGAGTAAACAAAGCTTATTTTTATCTTTGCTGACATGTTTCGGGCGGTGCTCTGACGGCAGTGGACGGCAAAACATGTCAGCAAAGGTATAAGCAAGCTTTGTTTACTCTGTATATGATGAACCACAAAAAAGGAAATCGGATGGAAAACACAGAACGAACGTAACAAAGATGTTACAAAATTTGCGTATTTGGGGATAACATCTCATGATGTTTCAAGCTTCCAGAAGCTGTGATTTCTGTTTTATTTAGCTGAGTGAGGAAAACCAGAAAACCAGAAAAACAGCCGTCACTGTGGCTGAGATCAGTGGTTGTGTCAGACCTCGTCTCGGTCAGGGGCTCCTTATTATAGCACAGACCCCACAGCCATTCCGTGCTGTGTGTGTGTGTGTGTGTGTGTGTGTGTGTGTGTGTGTGTGTGTGTGTGTGTGTGTGTGTGTGTGTGTGTGTGTGTGTGTGTGTGTGTGTGTGTGTGTGTGTGTTATTCACTGCAGTGTTTATCCATCCACTGAGCCTTATCCACTCAGACAGCTGGAACATGGCTATGTACACACACACACATACACACACACACACACACACATACACACACACACACAACATCCTTTTTTTTATTCACACAAAAGTTTTGACCTCATCCAGAATAACTCTGCTTTGAAAGGTTTTTTTTTTTTTTTTTTTTTGGAAAATCTGGGTCTACAGACGACCTTCCCTGCCGTTAATATTGAAGAAACTCCATCCATGCTGGAGAGAAAAGTTTTGACTGATTGTTTAAAAAAGAGAATTGGTGTTTCCTTAAATGAGAACAAAGGCTGGCGTGATGATAACATCCTGTTAAAGGATGCGTCTGACTTGTGTTTTCATCATTGTTGCAAAACTATAAAAAAATAAAAAAAAACTGCTGTGTGTGTGTATGCATGAAACAATTATATTGTAACATTTTAATTTTAATGTGTCTCAGATATCATCATCAGGAACATTTATGTTCATGTTTAATATGAATAAAAGAGTCAACTTCCCGTCCTAAGAGCAAACTAACAAGGGTACAATAGTTTATTCTTACTGACAGTTCGGCTCAGAATTGATTGCTGAGATCAGACACATTTTCCCCTCGATAAATGATTGTTTCCATCGGCCACAAAATGAAACCCTTGAGGTTGATTTGCCCTTTCTCCTGCTTATTCAATCCAGACCTGATTGTCCTCATTGATCAGAGACTGATTTAATTAGAATGACTGATACTTAATTAAGAAAGATCCATAGATCTAATAGGGTAGGAAAAGATCAAATTTTCTAATGCAGATATTCTGTTTGTATTCTCATTAAGAACATTCTGTGTCTTGAAAGTAAGTGAAACATCTATACATACACTTTTGCACCATCTCTTGGTGCAGTAGTCCTGGGAAAACAGGCTTTTCAGATCTTAAGCATCTTTGAGAGAAGTTCATTAAGCCTGAAAGCTGCAAGAGTCATCTACAACATATGCTGAAACTAAGTCATGTCTCACAAAATGTAATAAAAAGACATGGGAACAAGAATCAGTTTAACCCTTCATTACAGAAGAGGGGTAGCATGGTAGGATGCACAGATGGTCAGCTAAACAGGAAAAAGGCAGATCCAGGCAGCAAGGGTCAAAGGTAAAGAAGCAAAGGAATCTGAAACAGGTGACTGAAGCTGAAATCCAGAAACATAACTAGGTCAAACACAACAGGGATACGACTGAAAGAAAGGTGGATGCTAGCAGAAGCAAAACAAAGCTGAAACTGACTCTGGAGAACTGAACCAAAGGGGCTTCGATACACCGACCAGGGAAGAAGGCAGTGCTAGGGGTTTAACTCGAAACAGCTGGGCTGAACATTACAGAGACAAGAAGATGCTCAGCTCTTTTATTTAGTGAACGTTCTTGCTTTAGTCGTTGAAGACAATTTTTTTTCACCCAAATGTATGCACAAGTTAACGTATGGCTTTAATTTTTATTTTATGAGCGTTAAACATTCATTTAGAAGGACAAACTAATATTGTTAAGAGGTCATTTGTATGTATATATGTATGTATGTTTGTGCACCTTTTTTTTCACTGACAGGTGGAGTCTAAACTGGCTATTTTGTGCTCAGGTGCAGGACTGTCACCATTACATACAGTAACATTTTGGGACTTTGCTGGTTGCCTAGCAACATCCTCAAAGTTACTGCTTTCCTGCCAAAATATAACCTCACACACGACTTGATGCACGTGAAGTATTGATATTACAGTTTTGCTTTGCAGAGATGATGGTGGTGGTGCATTCAATAGCATTACGTTTCAGGACTCAGACATAGAGCGATTTCCCCATAACAGAATTATCTTTTATGATACTTCTTAGATGTTATTATGCTTATGCATTTTGCATGGTAACACATTGGGATCCCACAGGAGGAGTTCTAGAGTGCTGCTGGGGTAAGGGGGGGTCTGAGCTTCCCTCCTGGACTGGTTACCTGGGTAGTTTGACCTTTGATGGGTGCGTTTTTAAAAGTGTATTTAGAAAAACAAATTTTTCTTGCCTAAAGCTCAATTTGTAGAAGAGTTTAACAACAAGTTTATTTATATAAAAAAATATATATATACATATATATATGTATATATATATATATATATATATATATATATATATATATATATATATATATATATATATATATATATATATATATATATATATATATATATTCAGGGCAGCGTCATCAGAATACGACAAAAACTCAAGCAACCAAACAAAAGTCTCTGAGTTCATAAAATAAGCATTAAAAGGAAGGTGAAGCAAAGTGAATTAAATATCAGAAACTGAATAAAGCAATTGTATTGTCCAGAAATGGTCAGTTTTCATGTTCAGTTTGACCCCTTCAGCATCTGATCGACATGGAGACAGGAGTCTGCATGTGTTGCCTTTAATATACCAGGTCCTGCTATTCCATCAGCTGGGTCCTCTCTACAGCTCGGAACACATGATAAAGTATCAACAATAGCGTTCCCTTCTCAAGGCCATTCTATGCCAAGCCTGCCTGGTTATCTAGGCCGGACTGGACTGTTATAAAAGTGGCTGTTTTCAGCTTATGTGAGTTAATCATTCATATAATAATATTAATAATGTTTTGATTAATGTGTGCTTAAATCAATAAGGTTGAGTGATCTGTGCTTGAGTTACTGAAAGAAATTAAATGAAGTATTACACTGATTTATGTATATATGGTAATCGGTAATCTGTGATATACCTGCACCAGACACAAGGACAAATTAAAGTTAAGTTAAGCTCATGACATAGATATTTCTTTACCCCAGATCAGAGCATCCGGTATCTCAAGAAGGCGTGTTTTCTGAGGTGGTCTTGGTAATATCCCTTAACATGGCACGCTCCAATTGGCCAAGTAAATCATAATATGATAATATTAAAACAGACTCACTTACTGTGATTCAGCAGTCTGGGTCGCATTCAAGCTTTCATCACTCAGCATTCAGTTCTAGAGAAACGGCTCCAGAACGGCCGTCCGGAGCAAAAACGATTTAACCCTGAGCATTTTTGGCAAGCCACCAAAACCCTGCTAAAAGCTGCCTACCGCTGACACGGCAGAACAAAGCTTATATTGTTCAGACTCCTTAAGAGTCCATCTAGACGCCACGGTTCCATCCATCTGTTGTGACCCGGAAAACATCCCTGGACTGAATGGTTGGTGCTACGGTATTCTACAACCTCGGTGCCAGAGGTCATCCGACCTCTCTGACCTTCGGATCCACGAAGAGGGTCTTCCAAAGGGAGAGGTAGAAATGTAGATAGTCTCTGATGCATTTTTGATAAGAATCAACCTCATAGCTTAACGCAAACCAATTTTTTTCCCTTTTACACCCAGAACTGAGTTCTACTAGATACAAAAGTTCTGATAACATCATATTCACACATAGGCACCATACATCACATTCCATCCACCTAGATCCAGTACATATTAGTTAACTTGTCATGTTTTAGTTGTTTGGAAAATAAATTCTTACTTTTGTAAACCTGACTCTTTCCTGAATCAAGACGAAGTGTTTACAATCCCTGAATAAACAAAGAATCCTAGAATCTTCTGATTAAACATCCAAAGACCAAGCAGGTTGATATTCTATAGAGTATCACAGCTTATTGGTCATAAGTAAAAGTAATATATTAAGCTCTTAAAGCACTCAATTTATCAACTCCTACACAATTATACTAACAAGGCAGATGATTATAGGACATTAAAACTGACCGATCACATCAGAATCAACATGATTTTATTAAAATAAGAAAATGTTTGGAACACTAATAACGTCTAGGTGCTAGGTTTTCCTAGTTTTAAAAGAAAATAGCACCTATGCCCAAGCTTGAGGTCGGAATGGTTTCAATCTGTTTCAGCTACAAGTATTACGTTATCAGAGCTTCTCTGAAGCCAAGACAGTCAAATGTGATCTGGCTGATATGAGCCAACAGGAACATGCGGCAGATGTTTATTTACTTAGATTGGATGTAACGAAGAAGAAAGGAATGAGAGTCTCGTTTTATCCTCTTATTGGTTCTGAGTCTCTGCAAAAAACCCAAAAGAGACATACAGCAGGGCTGTGTGGAGGACTTCCTGTCTCTCCTGTGTTTACATGTGTGAATAAGACAGCTGGGAGTCAAGATGGAGTATTACTAGCTTTCATTTTGTAAAGATCCGGGTCAGTTTTGTGTCTATCTACTTGTCTTATCAGGGAAAATAAATAAGTCAAATAAATCTTCAATTGCTTGCTCTTACTCCTCTGGGAGATTAAATAGCCTTGTTTGCAGTATTCTGAGACTATGGCTCATCAAAAGAAAAATAGGGTAATGCAGAGTCTTCATAGTTTAATCTCATGAGACACTTTTTGTTACATTGTGGCCCCTGGAGAATGTAAAAGCCTCACACAAATTTTCAGACAAATATATGCATTGCAAACTAATATGTTCAAAGGATCATTATGGGTTTATGAGGACTTAACACAATGGGGGCTCGTCCGGGATTATCAACCATACCATGAAGGACTTTTAATGGCATGTGCTTTTTGCAAACAGGTTTTCAGAGGATTTTAATATGTGTGGTCAGCTGTGTCCTCTCAGGTATTGTGAGTATGTCCTTTTTGTTTTATTCTGTTGTGCTTGTGAAAGTTTAGAGTGAAACGAGTGAATTCCCTATAGATTTCCGGACCCCACGTGACTCTCAGTTAGTAGACGCCATATTGGCAGGTAAAAGAAGCTAAACAAACACGGATCTTAACCATGAACGTGAACAGGATCGGCTTGGATTTTACTTCGTCGGAGTTTACTTCACACTTTAAAACCGAAGAAATCGTTTCATATAGTCAGAAATTAAATAGACTAAACATCTCCGACCCTTACCGTGCCAATGGGATACTTTTTAAAAACGCCAGAAGCTGTCGGAGCGCACTTCTTACCGGACCTGGCCGGGGAACCCCTTGGGATTTGCCCGGAGGAGCTGGCTCAGGCGGCTGGGGAGAGGGAAGTCTGGGCCTCTCGACGCTACTGCCCCCGCAACCCAACTCCAGATAAGCGGATGAAAATGGATGGATGGATGGATGGACAAATAACAGATTTACACGTAAGTAGTTTAAATAGAGTGCTGTGCTGTTTGAATGTATAAACTGAACACCTAGAGAAATCACTAGTTTGATTTTTTTCCGTGAATAAAATAAATATGTCAGGCAGGAGCGTCTCAGGATCTGTCTGAGATCTGTCTCGGTGAGACAGATAATAGCAATCCAAAGTGCTTTTTATGTGTGATCTGACAATTGATCAACCATTGCTTAAAAATTAAATACAGCTTAGCCGGTTAATTGCTGTGATCATAAAACACAGAAACGGCAGCACGCAGAACTCATGAGGCAACATTTTACGTGATGTTTACTTGTTGCTATGAGTAATAAGACAGAAAAAGCCACGCCAAAATAAGTTTAGGAAGCCCACTAAGAATCGTAATGAAAGCATTTAAAATAAATACCATACACAGTTGAGGAAACGTTGGTTTAAGTACCTGATATGAAGCGGTCGCTGCATAAGCGAAAACCTTTACTCTCGGGATCCCACAGTTTCATTTCAGCCCGGTCACTAGCGCGTTTTATTACAATGATCCAACGTTTGCGGCGCTCCGGATCTTGGGGAATCCTGTAGATGGCTCATTCCTTATGTCGTCCGTGTCTGTTCTGCGTCCTGGGGCACAACAGGAATCTACCATATTTCCTGTCTGATTGAGTTTTCTGACAATAACAAATAGCCCAGCTGCCGGCTTCTACCTGCCAATATGGCGCCGTTTCGATTTGAACTGTTGCATGCCGGGAGAAGTGACATAAACTCCTGGAGCTCTATAGGCTCTAGGAGCGCACCCTCTTTAGGATGCGTTCTGGTTTTTGTTTTTCTAGAGTTGGGGTTATGGAGGTTAGCGTTGGTGGAAATTCTACCATCTCGAGAGCACCTCAGGAATTTGGAGAGATGGGCTCTCCTGTCCGCTGGTCCATTTGTGCTTAATCGGCCCACCTCTACGCTCCATGAAGACTAGGGTGGAGATCAGCTAGGACTCCTCAGATTAAGCTAGAGGGAATTCTTGTTGGACAAAAGGCCTGGCAGTGTTTGATTAAAAGCCATGGAGGACAAAGGTGAAAGAAAAAAAATTGTGGTTGAACTTGTGTTAATTTTTTCTTTCTTTTAAGGGAGGAAGTGTGACAGCTGTTGCTATTTTGTCCCAGAAAGCTGACTCTGCAGACGAATATCAGTGCATTGCCTCCTCCTCCTCCTCCTACCTGCACAGCTGCACTGGGATGTCATCAGACTAAAATCTGGACAGGAGACAGTCAGACCAACAGCACCATCCCAGTCTAAGTTGTTTTATCTTCATCTGGCAGTCACTGCAGAGGAGTCTGGAGAGGACAGACTGATGATGTGAGAACAGATTCCAGCCACATCTGACTGTTGCCTGGGAAACAGGAGGACACGCCCACTGGTATGTTACTGCTAAAAGTATTTTTAGAATTGTCGTGGTTTGGGACCCAAATGCATCCTCACAAATCAGAGGCACAACATCAAGCAGACACAAGACTTTAATCTGAGTTAAAAAGATTTCACTGATACAGCTAATCCAGAAATTATTTTCTGACCTCGTCATGAAAACAGCAAATTTCGAAGTCAGACTTAAACATAACAAACATCACAACAAAAATAACAACAATTTAAACCTTGAACTATTTCAGGTCCAAAATAAACTAAATTAGCTGCTAAAGTATGTCCAATTTAACTGCATTGAACTGAATGAATAAAGTTGTATTTTGTCACTTTGCTCATAAAGATGTTTTACTCAGCCCTGAGCCCAGAGTGAGACTTTGTCAGGTCTTCTAAAAAATCTGGAAAACAGAAAAATGCAGCTAAACAAATGGAAAAATAAATCAAACACAAATAATCTAAAAATCAGTCATCTTCAAACACAACATCCACCCTCTAAAGAATAGAAGATGACCCTCAGGTCAGGTGGACCATTACACGAGGAGGGCATTCTTG